CGATATTCCTCTTGTATGTGGCTGGCCTAAGAAAGTATTTCTCCTCCGTTCATTAGGCTCTTAACCTCTCAACTAACACTTATATACCGCTCAAGTACCACGATTTATATAATTATGTTTCTGTAATTTATACACGTCTCTAACCATTTATAGTTTACCTTGCCTTTATAACCACAGAGTACTTTTTACACTAGCTGACTTGTAGCACAGTCCGTGGGTCATAGAGTAGAATAACTACATATATCGGCATCGACGGGCGCATTATAAAGAAAATATTTTGAGTTCTAAATACTGTATAATATAAAATAAAAAATAAATATAGATTCAGGAAACGTATTCAAGATTTATTTGAAAGTTCTTCAGGGACAATTCCAACGCTGAAATTGATTTATGTATTTCCATTATAAAAGCAAGAGGAATAAAAGAAATACAAACCGAAATTAATTTATACTAGCTGTTTCCCGCGACTTCGCCCGCGTGTAATTTAGGGTTTTAATTTTTTTGCACGGAACCCTAATTCTTTTTCTAAAATAAAAGTAGCCTAAGTTACTCCTTATAACATCAGCTATCTGCCAGTGAGTCCCGTCAAAATTGATCAAGCCATTTCGGAGATTAGCCAGAACAAACAGACAGATAGACAGACAGGCAAATAAAAATTTTAAAAATTGTAATTTTTTTATTATAAGTACCGTATATACATATATGCATATGCATTTAATAAAAAGCTGTTGATTTGACATTAGATACAAACAGACACTTCAATTTTATTTATTTGTATATATAAATAGATAGGTTGGTAATGTAAAATGTCTTAATAAAAATATAAAATATACCTGCGTGTTAAGTTATAGTATGAATCAAAAGATATCACGCATTAAGGCATGTAAATTACGATAATGTTACATTCAAAATAGAAAATAATACTCATAGCTCCTATTTATAAATCCTATAATTGGGCACATTCTATTTTCATAGCGTAAAGAATGCTAAGCTACATTGAAGGTTTGTTGGTGTTGTTGCGATCTCTATTCACGGCGCACAGCATCATGTCGGCGGCGGGCTGTCGCTAGAGGGCGGGGTCGTGACGTCAAGGCGCGTGCGACTCTGCACGTCACCTACAGCGTTGACGTGACAACACGATCGTTAATCGCGATACCTTTGCCTTATATGGTCATTAGAATCTATTATGAATATATTTAAAAAATTATACCCTTTTTTTAAGCATATTGTGCGCACGGAGGTGTGTGTTTTAGCATAGTTAAAGTATATATGGAAAAGTGGAGAAAGCTAAAATTTATACATTATATTATGTTTTGTGTTACAAATAAATTAAATGAAATAAAATAAAACATTTGTTTACGTCCACCAATGTCAAACACATAACAGACTGTGATCAAACAGTGGCACAGATTAGAGATTGTCGCCAAAAAATTTAAAAATGTTGACAACAATTAAGGATTAAAACTTCACACACTTAGAAAACAGTAAATAAAATCTTATAAAACATTTTTCTTTTGAGTACTTCCCATACAAGTAAAAGGAGGATGATTTTTTTTTACCCGTAAAAACATTGGGGATGTGGAACAACATCTTTTCGATTCAGGGGTCCGTTTGCGAAATATTTAGCTTTAAAGTGATATTTTTCATTGGAGTCATGTATCCCCCCCCCCCCCCCCCCTCCTCTACCAACTAACCCGCTATTTTTGGAAACGTGAAAAGTATACACAATAGTAGTATATATAATGAGGTTTAAAGAAAAACTATCACAGCTAAGTAGAATTAAGAAGTTAACGAGTAATAGTCGACCAACTCATCAAATGCACTTGGAGTAGTAAACATTTCGTTACAACTCGATAGAAAATTACTTAAAACTAGCTGCACTTATAACTTTGTAACGTTATTGTAAACTGTTAAAAATAAACATTTTATGAAGAAAGCGACTTATATGCATTATTACTATTAGCTTAACTTTTTCATTTGCGGGATAGATAGGGTATTATTGTCAAAATCGAAAAGCTTTTTAATTTTTTTTGAATACCGCTCCCTCTATAAGGCTGATTTGAAAATAAGTCCTTCAGTTACGATCTTCCCATTTGGGCCCATTTTTAGTCGTTATAGCGGTCAAACCGCGAATTCCCTTATTATGCGCATTATCAAGGAAGCTCACGTATTGTGACGAGCAACTACGAAAGCCTACCTTTACATTGTGCGTGGCCCGACACGCACTTAGCCAGTTATTTAATTAGCAATTACAGAGTAAACAGGGCAGGAAGAAAAGTAAATTCAGAGATTAATATAATAGTTACTACAATGCGCAGTATCCTCTTAGTAGTCTATGTTAGTACTATAAGTAACCCTGTAAAACTAAAAAAAAAATGAAAACTTGCGGTTGCCAAGCCGCCTGATAAGAATGGCAACTATGGCAAATATTCTCCCTATGAAGTAACTTATGGGAAAGCCTATGTTCAGCTGTGGACTTCTGAGAGACTGTTACGGTATACGTAAGGAAAAAAATTATCAGCTCCGAACCGCAATGGTCAAGCGTTTGTTCTCAGTGCTACGGGCCTTGGATTCGAATGCCGAAGTATAAGTTTACACAAATGATTGTCCCGGGTTTGGATATTTGCACATAATATGGCAAATTATGTAAGTAAAACGCCTCTACGATAGTTACTGAAAAAAATTTAGTGGTGCTGATGTTTAAAAAAAACGATGTTTACACTTCTATCACTCTTGAATTTACTACTAAAGCACTAGTAGCGCCTTTTAACGGTGTTTTGGGTTCTCTCAACGTCTCACTCAACTGGTCTATCGGAGGGCATCCACAACTTTTTCTGCCACCATGGCCGCGCCACTTTGCAATGAGGTGAAATATTTGACAGATTTCATAGTGGGAAAGATAAATTGTTAGAAAAGTGTAAAAATTAATGTTTTTTTCTGAAAGATTAGTTATATTTTATATTATATAGATATGAAAGGGTTAAACTAAACTGAGGATTTTCCTAAAAGTTAAAAAAAATGCCAAAAATGTGTAAAAAATTAAAGAACTCACTGAAGCATACTTTTGTATATATAGGTACATACACTAGAAACCGAGAAACTTTTATTTAAATCAAGCTGCGTTTTAAATAAAAGTTTTTTATTATAGTTTGATTTTTTGGCTTTAGCTTAGTTTTAACTAGCGACACCTGATGAGCGTAAGGTTGTTAGTCCTCATTTCACGTTCAGCGGTAGATTTGTATTAATTTCACAGATGTCACTTTTAGCAAATATCAATGTCAGTGAAAAACTAAATGTATAGTATATATTCAATAAATCAGTTTAAATGGTTGTTTTTAATCGACTTTAGTAAAAAATATTTCAATTTAATTTATTTCGTTTTAAACCTTTAATCCATTATTAACCTTATCTATATTATTGCACGACGAAATCGATATTTTGCAATGGCAACATACTTAACATGGGTTACCTTATTGTACTGCTGCCATTTTAGCGCTTAAGGCGCTATATCCAGTGATTTTTGGTATGCTTAGCGTACATTTGAAAATTTTTGCGCCTCGCGGATAATTTAGCACGTTTTGATTTCTGACATGGCAGTACGGTTTAGTTTAGTTATTAGTTGTTCCGTGTCGCAGAATAGCCGATTGGTCTTACACAAATGTTCATTTTTATCAACAACTATCTGTATTTTTGTTTATAAGTGCTGAGAATAAGTCAACTAATATTCAGTTTTGTGAAAATTTTATAGGTGTTTTTATGAGACTTCAATCTCTATGGCAAACGAACTTACAGTCCTTCTGAAGATAACTGTCTACTGCATCTCAAGCACAACTATTACCGTTGTCACCCCCTGAGAACTAAGATGGAATGCTTCGCAGCCGGTAATTATATGATACTGGTATATACAAGCAGCATTGCCTTTTTTTTTTTTACATGGGGAAATGCCTACGCATACCCGCCTCGCGGGGGCAAGGACGGGTTATGTCGGACTCGCACCGACTAAAACCCCATGGTGTTCCACCCTCGTCGCATATTGGCAGGGCCACGGGAACGCTTTCGCACACATCCGCGGCCCCACCTGCGCTGGCTGCCCCATGGCGGCCCCTCCTCGGGAGAGGACTACTCCTCCCCCATCTCCCTCTCAGGTAAGGCGCACCAGAACACATGGCACGCCCTCCTCCTCGGCCTCCAATTTCACATGCGCAACGGACGCCCCCGCGTCCGATGCGCGAAGGCCATGGGGCCAGGAAAAACTAGCACTCAGTAGCACCAGCCTTCCTGACCCCAGCGGCGGATCTGGTCTATGGCTCCGCCGCCAACCAAGATTCGGCTGCGGAGGGTAGGGAGAGTGGCGCCTCGCAATACCGACACTCCTCTCCCCCCGCAGCCCCACCACCACCGCATCAATTAACGGTGCGGCCCCGTCTGAGTCGCGGAGGATAGGGCGAGTAGCGCATCGCCATACCAACACTCCTCTTCCTCCGCGACTCCACCTCGGCTGCAGCGGTAGAGGGTGCGGACTCCCCTCTCACACATCCGAAGTGGGCTCGCCAAGCCCACTCGGAGTGGCCACCTCGGGCCGGCCCTACACCACGGGCCAGCCAAGGGGTTCCTCTTTGTTCACCGTGGGTGACCAAGCCACGGCTACTAAGCCCCCCCGCCACGACAAGGCGGGAACCCGTTCGGGGGGGAAGCAGCATTGCCTGCACTGTTACTTAGAGGTAGTACTACCCGCAAATGAAAAAGTATAGGTAGATAGGTACGGGGGTGACCAAACAGAATGATTTCTAGGCAGGAACGGAGGGAGTTCTATGTATTTTTTTAATTTATATTAGTGTTTTTTAACAATTCATGAGTCAAAGTTAAAATTTAGCGCGAAATCTAGCGCTTTTTTGATATCCTAATCTAGCGCTTTTTGTACCGCTGTTAGCGCCAAATGGTTTTTCAGCTGGCAGCACTCTTCACTTTATTGCTTACACGTCAAATGGCAAAAGTAAATTGAGTTTTATAGATTCTCTGTTATCATCAACATTCGAGTTTATAGTATTTTAAGCAACAATTAAGTGTTTATTAAAAACACGGATGAATTAATGTAAATGTATTGGTGAAAACACAAAATCATTCCGTAATAGATATCTCATGATTTACTAGGCCTAAATTATAAAATGGGTAAGCTCAATCGTCATCTTTAATACCTATTTTTTGTTGGTTAAATTGTGAACAATTATTCAAAATTGTTTTTGGTTTGCAGGTGGTTTATTTAGTTACTTTAGAGGATTGTTAGGGGCGCGTGAAATGAGGATATTGATCCTCGGATTGGACGGCGCCGGTAAAACTACTATATTGTACAAACTGCAAGTTGGGGAGGTGGTAACTACTATACCAACCATCGGGTTCAATGTAGAACAAGTTACGTACAAAAATTTAAAGTTCCAGGTTTGGGATCTTGGTGGACAGACTAGTATTAGGTGAGCTCTTTATTGAGGTTAGAATATTATTTGCTATGGTCATTATTTTAAAAATAATTGCTGTTAAGCTGTGCCAACAATTATTCGAATGTATCTTGTATGAATGTATCTAGAATTTAAGGAAATTTAAAACCATCATATCATCAACTAATCAATAACAGTGGCTACCAGTAATATTGTCTTTAGTTGTATTTTTTCTTTTTTCACTCAATTTAACTCTCAGAAGAAAATCAGAGAAGAATCTAACTAAACTGACAAAAAAAATTGTAAAAATATTTAATATATTATATAAATCTTTATATTATATTGGCTGATATAATCCAGTATTGCTATGGTTAGCTTTGCCTCTGCTATCAAGGCTCTTCAGCATAATATAATGTTAATTTACCAGAAAAATAAAGAAAATCCCACTTTTTCTTAAATTAAAATGACTTCTAAGTAGTTGGACTACTACAAACATCATAGTGAGATAAATTTACCAACCTTTAAATCTCACAACTCTTTATATGTTTATTTCTAGGCCATATTGGCGATGTTACTACGGAAACACAGATGCAATAATTTATGTGGTAGATTCTGCAGACAGAGATCGAATAGGCATATCCAAGGATGAACTGGTGCATATGTTAAGAGTAAGTTTAATTATCTCTAAATTACTTGTACAAAATTTTTAGTGTTTAATTAATTACGACAATTATATTAATTGCTCTATGTGTATGGTGATAGAACCAATCACCCTATTTCGTTTCCTGGGTGTCGTAAGAGGTGAAAATGGTCAAAAAGTACTTGTCGTCCGATAGACAGAATTGGAACATCTCATTATTGCCAGATGTAAAAAATCCAGATCAGCAAAAGCAGCAGTAAGCAACAATGTCAAAGGTGCAACATCTGGCACTGCTACTGTCCACCTGCTTGGCAAATATAATGATTAAGGAGAGGAAGAGGTCTATGTCCAACAGTGGACTTTTCTGGTTACTGATAAAGAAGAAACTGACCTGTAGATTTCCACAACAATTATCATTCTGAGTAAAAATTTATGCTGCTATTTTATATTTATATTCCCTTAACGTTAACTTTAATGTTAAGTTGGAAGAACTACGTAATTTGGTTACTTTGTGGTGGTGGCATTAGAGTACTCGTATCTGTCAGTGTTTTGTGTAATGGGTGTCTTAAATGACTACCTTGGGAAATCCCCATGAAGACCTGACTTTTGATAGACAGACAAACAGTATAAATAAGATGTTAACCTCGGACTGGTAATGGTTAGCAGTTTTAGAGGCACATGATATTTTGCGTGATATTTCAACCTTTTGATACAATGAGGACAAATCTTTTTTACAATGGGAGAGGCCCATCTCAAACTGTTCACTGTTAGCTCATAATAGTCCACAGTTGGCTTCAACAATGAAGAAAGCTTACATTGTCACTTTTAACAATCCAATCATAAACTAAAAAATAATATTATGTGAGTGTCGTGGAACACTCGGTTGAAATGAAATTCCTTTCATAAGTAGTATATAATACATATTATATATTAATGATACATATTATAAACGTATTATATATTATATTATTGATTTACAAATCTAAATAAATGAATTACTAGCGTCTATTAAAATGAAGCGTCATTTAAAATAATATTTCTTTCATGGCAAGATAAGAAAAAGTGTGATGGAGATAGATACTATTCCATCTCGCTTGCACTGTAGAAAGAGGGATTGTGATGGAAAAATCTAACACTTTCTCGCCTAGCCCCCATCCACCAACTTCTTACCGTCCTATAAGGAACTTCATTCCAAAAAAAATACTCAGCTTTTGATTGAAATAGTTTTACAACTATTCCGTAAATACCAATGTCCATAACATTAATTATTATCTTACTTTATCCTTATCTTTTTATCAAGTAAAATGACTACAATCTTTACTTTAATATTAAAGACATGGAAAATACATTACATTACCTAGTTAGATGTTTCATAAACTGTTTAATGTTAAAAATAGTCCTGCAGGGTTTCTTGCTGGTTCTTCACAGAGGTATTTTCCTAACCAGTGGTAAAATAAACAGAAGAATATCTTTCATTAAATATTATTTATAATCTAGGTATATCGAAAATAAAATATCTATTTCTAAATAATGTTTTTTTTTTTTATTGAACAATGTATTAAGAGTCAATTTTGGTAACTGTCAATTTTATAAATTACTAGCTGGTATTCGGCACATTGCTGCCACAGCAAAAAATTGTGGAAATATTTTTTAAACTTGGAAGAGTTATATTCATTTATTAGGAACGATAAACACATTAATGTAAATTGAATGATAAAACTTTCAAATAAATTTGTGAGTGCAATACGCAAGCAACCTACTGTTGCTTGCGTATTGCAAGCAATATTTTTTGATTTTTATTGATTTTTTGTATTTACGCGAAGACTACACATTAAATGAAACTAATGTTTACGGATTTCATAGTGTTTAATTTAACTTTTTAACGGGTGCTTTACAGCACCCATGGTCACGGTGGGGGGGGGGGGGGGGAGGACTGTGGGAGGTCTGACACATCCGGGCACATGCAGCTTTCTAATTTTTGAAAAGCTTTTGATGCTTTTCTAACTCGGTTGAGCCACACTGCAGTTTTATGGGTGCAGCACAAATGGATTAGCCCGACCATGAAATGACCACACTCTCACTGAATACTAGTGTAAGCTCAATGCTGCTTTATTTTGTATGGTAAGTGTAGAGTACTGGATACGATTTACTGGCAATGAGGCATTTTATCCAAGTCCTAGCTATTTCGTGCTGTTGTTCTGTAAGACTGGCGATATCCTGGTCCAGTTGATCCATTTGTGTAACAATCATATAAAAGCTGCAGCTTGGCTCTACCACATTTAAAAAGGCCACAGCATCACTTAGGTGGACTGTGTGTTCGCTTTTCACAATTATCCTATAAAAAGCGTGGAAGAATGCTGATTTATTACATTGTCGGCGGTGAAAGTTCAAAATTGTGAGGAGATATGCAAATCAATTACAATAAAAAACATATTGAGTACAGATACAGTCTTCCATCACACATTGGGTAGTGTATCAGACTTCTTGTTCCAAAACCCACACAGAATTGAGTGGAAACCTGTGCTGTGGGATGTATATATTACTTTAATTTGTATATTTTTGTATTACAAAGTGGTAGGTAGTTCCCTTTTTGCCCAAGATTTCATTTAGGTAGGTACCATCCACTTACCAATTTCTGCCACACAATAGCAGTCCTTACACTCCTGTGTTCTGGTCTGATATGTATAGAATAAATATATAATTGCAGGCATTTAGTTTTACTTAGTCCTCAGATGTGCAACACATCTGTTGCCTTCTCTGTTTAAGTTTGGCTGCAGGACTGCGATATCTTTTGTCACTTCAGTTTTATAAAAAAAAGTAATTAATAAACCATTGTAAATTTATTATAGGAGGAGGAACTTGCAAATGCGATTCTAGTGGTCTTAGCAAACAAGCAAGACATGGCAGGCTGCCTAACAGTGGCAGAAGTACATCAGGCATTAGGGTTGGACGCCCTCCGCGATAGAACTTTCCAGATATTTAAAACGTCGGCTGTAAGGGGCGAAGGGCTGGACCAAGCGATGGACTGGCTATCTGATGCATTACAAGCTAGGAAATAACATAGAGAGTGAGTATAAAAGATGTTTAGTTTTATGGGACGGGAGGACTCCTGTCCGATAGTGTTAAATAAATATTATTGACATATTGATTTAACAAATGTATCCAAGAACACCTCGTGCTCGGCGGCGAAAGAAAACCTTGTGAGGAAACCTGCATGTTTGAGAAATAAGATAAAAATTATTTCAAAGACATGTGAAGTTCGCCAACACGCATTGGGGCACCGCATCAGACATTTCCTCTCAGAAATAAGAGGACGCCTGTGCCCAGCCGTGGGACGTATATAGGCTTTAACTTTAACTATATGCAAGAACAGTGAGCTAAAAAATGTTCAAGGGAAGATATACAAAAACTTTCCGTTAGACCCCAAATTAAGATAATCCTGTATCTTGGACCTAGAACGCTAGTTAACTAGATATTTGTACACAGTCTAACCAAAAAGAATATTCTGGATTTGCACTACTCTTGCCTATTTATACCAACTAAACATCAGAGGCAAGAGAGCTAATATAATTACAGATTGTGCGAATTTTTTATTGCGTTATTCCGTTTATTCACCCTAAAAAATCCACGCGTGTTCATCTATTTACCCCAGACGGGATGGTAAATCGAGATTCACTTTTATTTGTTCTTCCGACTTTTTACCCCAAGTACAGTTAAACAATTCGTACACTTTAATTTTAATTAATTTTCAATAACCACAAACATAAACAAAAATCATATTAAGTAATTGACGTTACCGTTAAACATGTTGCATTTCAATAAATTTAAACTTCCTTGTTTTAAATAATATTATTAGGCAATGATTTCTTATATTTACGCGAACACAACAGATTTAAATAAAACTAATTTTACGGATTTTAACGCGTATATTAACTTATTTTATATTCCCGACGTTTCGAGCACTTTACAGCACCCATGGTGCCCCCCCGTGACCATAGGTGCTGTAAAGTGCTCGAAACGTCGAGAATTAAAAAGTAAAATTAGTTTTATTTAAAAATATTATTAGGTAATTTATAAAGACCATGAAATTACCAACACTAATTTCATATACTGAGTAGACGTAATTTGATATCCTGGATAAATTCGTCACATTTAACGTGCATTTGTAATCGTTTTCTAAATTTCATTGCTACAATAGATGTTTTAGCGAAAAACTGGGCGTTTTTTTTGCAAGCAATCCAAAAAAATAATATTTTGGATCTTTGTCTTCACTTTAAATTGTTTTATGCCAAGATTCTAATGAGTGTAATCTTGTGAGGCATTCCTTTTATTTCAGCGTTAACCTTTCAAACGAGAAGTATGTATATATTTTTACAGGTATACTAATGTCCACTAAGTATTTTGGGCCAGTTTTTATTACGTTTCTATAAATGACTGTACACAACCGAGGGAGAAAATCGGAAGAAAAATAATATACGAATTCCGGTTATTTGTTCAGTCCAGTTCGGTTCATTTATTCACCCAAAATGGGTGCATAAATAAACACGCGTTTCAGGGTATCCACATTAGGGTAGTTGTTTAGGGTGGATAATCGATATAACCCTTTTTATCATAAATTAATTAATTATTTATTACAAAAAGGGTTTCCGGTTCTCCACACTCACCATACGAAACAGCAAAGCATTAAGCTGCAATTTTACACTGGTATTCTGTGAAACACTTGCAGCCAGCTTCAAACAAAAACGGCTAGAGTTCCATTGTCACTTCTGAGAGAATTAAGATGGAATGCTTCATTACCAACAAAAAAGGTCTCCGTCGATATTTCCCGCTGGTAACCTGTGCAAATATGGTTTATGCGTGTAAAAGAATAGAATAGAAAATTGTTCTTCTAGTTTGAATATGAATGAAGTATGATCGGCAAATTATACTATATCATGTTTATCCCGTATTATCTAGGACATTAATATAGATAAGAAACAGAAAGGGGCCGAAAATTGAGCCCTGAGGCACGCCCGATTGTACTATCGGTACGAAGAAACTAATACCGTTGGTAACGACCTTTGCGTTCTGTTACTTAAATATGAAATAATAAATTTGAGGGCATCACTTCTCACACCAATGTGTAATGGGGTATTCTGTGTGAAGATTTTGTGTGTATAGAATTCTGTACTGCTATAGTCGCTTTAGTGGCGGCACAGTATAACTACTACTAACAGTCGGTCATCGAAGGCGTCTAGACGGGGCAATCGTGCGGTGCGGTGCGGCCCGAGACGCGGGCGGAAAGTTCCCGAGCGGCTGTTAGAGTAGCTCGGGAACTGTTCGCTGGGGTTGTCCCCGATAGTCATGTCACGCAAAATGGTTACACTAAATGTGTAAAAAAATGTCGGCGTTCTCATTTAAAGATAAGTAATTAGTTCAGTTTCTACATGTACAGATTAATTTGTTTAAACGTAAAATAAAATAAAATATTTTTTTTATTACTTCTCGTCCTGACAACCCTAGCAATTTATTGTTTATGTCGTCTTTTCCGACAACATCGAACGCGATGACTGACTGCATGTTCTTAGGCTTTGATGGCCGCGTAAGAGAATTCACTACCACATATAGTTCCTTGCCGTGGTAGCTCAGATGGTTAGCGCTCGCTGTAAGCTTCACAGTACTCGAGTAACCCGGGTTCGATCCCCGCCGGCACCAATGAAATTGTTAATTGTAATTTTAAGTGCTGATTTACCACGTGTTCGGCAGTGAAGGAAAACATCGTGAGGAAATGTGTCAAATAAGAAAATAAAATATTTCGAAGACATGTGAAGTTCGCCAACACGCATTGGAGCAGCGCGGCGGACATTTCCTTGCCCTAAAACCCTCTCAGAAATGAGAGGAGGCCTGTGCCCAGCAGTGGGACGTAAATAGGCTGCAACTTTACTTTCACTTTATATCGTTCCTTGGGTGTCGTAAGAGGCGAGAGAGGGAAACTGAAACAGGGGACTGAGTGTTCATTTTACACCATTACATACTTACATATATACATGAACTCACGCCTGTCACCCAGAGGTATGGGCAGAGACTGCAGACTTCCATTTGGCACGATCCTGACGCACCTCTCTCACCTCCATTATCTATATACCTAACCTTTTTTGGTACTCTTAATTTGGCTATTCTTCTAAATGTGTACCAATAGCCAATTTAGTCGATAAGCTTTCGTCTAGGACGTCCCTTGCCGACGTTGCCACTGCCGCAACATAAATTTGCTTTGTTACTCTTTAATTTATAAAATAAAGACGTCTGTCTTCTTAAGGCAAGCTAAGTGTCAATGTATGCAGGGGGCTCGAGGTGCCTTAGTGTCTCCAGTCTTACCTACCTAGCTACAGCCTGTCACAAGTCCACTGCTAAACACAGACATCACCCATATATTGCCTAATAGGGGGATGCTTTTTATATAGAGTAATGGTGACAAACGAGCACACAGTCCACCTGATGGGAAGTGGATGCTGTGGCCCATAGACATCTTCATCTATCCTCGATTAAGAATCAAAATGCAGGGGTTGCCACCTCTAAGAACTAAGATGGAGTGCCTCGTTTCCAGTAAAAAGGGTCTCCGGTTCTCTACACTCACCATACGAAACAGGAGCGTTATGCTGCTATTTTACGCTGGTATTCTGTGAGAGCGTGGTCCTTCCCCGGCCGATCTGACCTACCGATAGCTGCTACACTGCTCTACCACGTAAAATATGGGGGATGCTTGGCCATAGTCGCCTCATTTGGAAGACAGGCTTGCAACTAGATAAGTAAGATGTTGCTTGCTATCTCCTGCTTGATTTCTTTATGTAGACTCTTACCGACACCCACGAGATGATATGAGATAGTGGTGGTCTTATGCTGTCTTTAGGCCGTAACGGTCTCTAGTCTTACTTCTATAAAATGAAATATTGTCTATTTACAAAACATTACATTTCAGGGCTGTTATATTTGAAGATACGAAGGACAGGATCGAAGGAAAAATCAAGATTGGAATGGAGAGACATAAATTATCTATTAGTCATACGTTTATTGCCTTTAAGTTAGTACTTAGCGTCGCCGCCATATTCTAGTATCTGTAAGAGTTTAACAGAGTGGCTAAGAAACAGTCCACCTGATGTTTTGCGATCACAGTGATTTCAACTCCAAACATGACATTGTCATCCCTGAACAATGTGATGCCTTTTGATCTATATTTGTGGTTACTTTTTTATTGGTATTGTCATCTATGCATCCACAATTAAGTCTGTTATTAAATTAAATGTATGTCTATAATACGAAAATGATACATTTTTTCAATTTGTTTAATTTATTTCATAATATATTGAATTAACTTTCTATAAAGGTGGCACTACACGATCGTCCAACTCCAAATGTTTACTATAGTCGTATTTTTAATTAGACGAAGTCAACTGACGTTTACTGTGTTGTCAGTTTTTGATGAAATAAAAATAGTGTTGTGACAAAGTGAATGATTGAAAAACTCCTGAATTAATGAAATTGCCTCGATTGTCTAGTGAATAGTTAGTGTGCTGAACTGCCGATATCGGGTACGGGGTTCGAATTTTAGTCGTGCTTTGTACATACCAACGAGTTTTCGACGACTATGTTCCTATAATATCTACCTATACTGAATACCGAGTGTTTTAAACATTAAGGAAAATATTGCGAGGAAACTTGTAAGACTGTCCTATTTTCAATACATCATGTAGTTGAAACTATAGATGTATAAAATATAACAATTATAGGTAGGTAATGAGAATAAAAAAAATCGCTTATTACATAATTTGTTTTTATTCATTATCAGATAAAAAATCATCACTATCGCTTTCGGTGACATTAATTAAAAATCTGTCAGTAACATTGTCAATCATGTGGTCGAGACCATACATTTTGTCTTCTTTTTTAATTATATGAGACACGCAGCTATTCCATTTTTCAGGTGTGATATGTTGAAGTCCTTCTTCAAAAAGTTTTTTTACTTCTGTCATTTTGAAGGTTTTGTTATTTCTTGCAACATATCCTTTAGCCTGCGCCCATACCAACTCAATGGGATTGAGCTCACAGTGGTATGGGGGCAGACGTAAAACAATTATCCCATGCTGCGCTGCCATCTCGTCCACAACATACTTATCGCAATGTTCTTGCTTGTGCTGCCGTACAATGTCTATAAGAGTAGCTTTAACCATTGTTGCTTCGAATGAAATATTTTTGCTCGTTAGCCACTCTAGTATTCTAGGTTTAGTCCAAGACATTTTAGGCAGCGATTCTAGTTTCCCGGAGTGGTAGGGGGCATTATCCATCACTACTACGGAATTTGGTTTTAGTTTTGGCAAGACCCCCCTAAACCACTTCTCAAAGGAATCGGCATTCATCTCTTGATGATAATCTTCTTTATTTTTTTTGGCTTCAAATATTAATAAGCTGTCTTCTACGAATCCTTCTTCCCCGCCTATATGGCCGATAATTAATCGTTTGCCCTTTCCTGAAGGCTGTTTTAAGCCAGTGGTCAAGCCATCTAGGAAGGCCTGGCGGGACGATAACACTGTCTGGTCAATCCATGCCTTCTTCGGTGCATGACCTTCAAGATAGTGAAAAATATCAATTAATTATTGAAAGTACAATTTAATGTAAAGAAAACAGAAAATTGTAATTACCTTCGTTGATCCAGGTTTCATCTTGGTAATAAATATACCTTCCTTCCCTTCGATACTCTTTAATTTTTCGAAGGTATCGCTGGCGCCATAGAATAATGTCCTGTCTGTCAATTAAAATGCTGTGTCTTGATTTTGTGACATATTTGAAATTTAAATGTTTCATAACATTTCTTAATGTACTCCAAGAAAAATTGGGTAAGTCTGGGTCTTCATTGACAACCTTAAGAATCTGTAAAGTAATAAAAATATGTTTTGAGTAAGGAAGTCTACGCAATCTAATACTTTGGTTTTACAAAGAACATTATGGTGGACACAGAATATAATGCAGTAGAAGGAATAAAGTTTAAGTTACCTTTATAATGGTGGGTGACTCATTTGCATAAAAAAAATTATGTACTTTTCGCCTTATAGCGGCAAAAGTAAAATCGTCTAATTTATCTTTGAAACTGTGTTTCGGTCCACGTTTCTCGGGAGACTTAAATTGTTCATTTTCTTTGCATTCTTTTAACACACTGTAAACTGAGGTCACACCAATTCCCAAAATGTCAGCTGTTTTCGAAACACATTCTTTTTTTTCGGGGGCCTCAATAGGTAATAGTGAAGCAGCTTTTTCCTCAAATACGTGTTTGTAGACGTTTTGTATCATAAGTTTTTCGGTAACGCTTAAAGCAATCCGTGGTCTCTTCTTTCTTGGAGACAAGCTTTGGCTTGACGTGCTTGGTTGAGGATCCATATCATTTGTACGAAACAATATAGCAACAAATAAACACAACAATTACCACAAACACAACGTAACGAAAAACTTAACAAAAACAATAACTAAACAGCGTGAGCGCAGAAAAAACATTCGTGCTATCAGACCAGAGGTTAGAAGCCGAATAACAAACAAAATGGCGACCGACGCGCGCGGCGTTGATCGGTGTTGGCAGTAGTCGCCGCGCCGCGCTTTGTAATAAAACCTCAAAAAACTGATTGTAGTTACATACTACTAGTAACTTATATCAGAGCACTTTTATACAATTTTATTGTAAAATAGAAATAATATTCTTTTATAGTTTGAAATGATTAACTATACACACTCATTGTTCATTCATCTGATTGAACGAGAACTGAACGCATCACTATTACTTTAAATATGGCAACATTATTTTACAAAGTGACATTAGCTACTGTCAGTTGGCTTCGTCTAATTAAAAATACGACTATAGAATCTTTTTTCATTTGCAAATGTTTAAGCGTACCTGACTCGCGGGGGCAAGGACAGGTTATGTTGGATTCGAACCGATTGAAACCCCATGGTGTTCCACCTTCCTCAATTATAAGCAGAGCCACGGGAACTCTTTCGCGCACATCTGCAACTTTATTAACGCTAGACGCCATTTTGCTTCCCCTCGGGAGGGGACAACTCCTCCCCCTTTCTTCTCGTCATGCGAGTCGCACTTTCCTATAGGGCGATCTTCACCCCCACCAAGCTCTAAAAGGGCAGAGGTCGGGGATTCTGGTTTTTGAACCCAGCGGTGGATCTGTTCTACGTCTCTGCCGCGAACTACTTTTTTTAACTGCTATACTACCCGATGGTAAGTGGTAATGTAGCTGAAGACGTTCAAACGAAAACGGTAAGATTTACCTTAATGAAAGCCTAGTCACTTTTGCCTTGAAGACACATTTGTAAAGGGACGGGAAACACAAATTATTCCATTCTGTTATTGTAAGCATGACTAATGTTGAAGCAAATCCTTTTGTTCGAATGCGTGATAAGTTGACTACAAATTGGTGGGGGACTGCCCGACTACCAACACTCCTCCTCCTCCGTGACTCTACTTTGGCTGCGACGGTACGAGGGAGGACCGGTTTGTACGAATGGCGAACTCTGTCATACTCCTTATCCGAACCTTCTCTACACATTAAGTGTTTTAGGGTTGGACGATCCGTGCAGAGCCGAAAAATATTGTTTTACCATTATATGAGAAAACTGTCGATACAAGGGCATCCACGACTTTTTCTGCCACCAGGGCCGCGCCACTTAGTAATGAGGTGATATTTGACAGATTTCATAGCAGGAAAAGACAATTTAATCCGAAAATGTAAAAGTTTATGTTCTTTCTGAAATATTAGCAATATTTAATATTAATTACATAATAAATGAACAATCATACTACAAAAATATTTCTAAAAATAGAAAAAAAAACATTGTTGTCTGTATTTGCACACTCTAGAAACCGATAAACTTTTAATAAATCGTAATTTCTTTAATATAATGACCATGTGTAACTAATAACTTCAACTCACTCCCAACTAGCGACATCTGGTGAGCGTAAAATTATTAGCCCTCATTGATGCAGCACGTTAAGTTTATCGTAGGTTTTGAAGGCAGCTTGGCCAATAGATTAAACCAACGTCAATCTTCAAGCTTTTACATTTTTTAAGCACTTGTTTTATAATTTCCATTAATTTTTCAAATGTCTACGTACATATTATAATAAAAAATAGTAGTTTGCTTATGTCAACGTCAAGGTTCGTCAAAACTCTGTTGATACATAACCTATAACTAAAAATGCAAAAAAAATTAATATCATACGTAACCCGATCAGTGAAAAATACACAAATACACAGTGAAAAAAAATCGACATAAAAAAATACATGAAAAAAAAAATACGCACAAGCAATTTTTGTTGTTTTTTTTATTAACCTAAAATATATCAAGTATAACTAACATACAGCCCTTATCAATTAAAAATGTGCGAATCAAAAATGTAATTTATATAAGTTAATTAATGTTTATTTTATTTATATAAATAAATTACTGTTTATAATGATATTTCCATTCTATAGTGTATTGAGTTCACTATTCAAATGAATAAAGAATTTAGATAATAATATTTTCAAAAACTTATTTATTTATGAATACAGACTATGAAACGGAATAGCTCATAAAAAATATTAATTACATTCGTTGCAGTCAACGTATAACCTTGCAGTTACTTTGACAGCGCGGGAATGCGAGACTTTTCTGCCACCAGTATAGCGTCACTTAGGAATGAGGTGAAATATTTGATGGACAGATTGCATGGAGGTTAAGTTAAATTGTTAGAAAAGTGCAATGGTTAATGTTTCTTGCTGTAATATCAATTACATTTTATAATTAACTATACTAAAAATTAATAAACTAAACAAAGGAAACTTAAAAAAAAAAAGAGTTAAAAACGTGCAAAAAATTAAAAAGCAATCCACTGAGGTATTGTTTTGTTTATTAATATAATACTCTAGAAACTGATAAACTTTTACATAAAACTAACTGCTCAATTAAATGACATTGTGTAACAAAAAATTTCACCTCAGTCCCAACTAGCGACATCTGGTGAGTGGAAGATGAGTTCTCATTGGTGCTGTTAAAATGGCGGTGCTGCAAACATAAGCGTGTTATAGTCAAAATGGTATGCGACGCGATATCAGTAGGTAAAGCAATTGTTTCGTAGGTAAACGCGGCAGGCGATGGATGTAACTATAGTTTATAGGTACATATTAGTTATTGATTGATTAATATATATTTTGTATCTGTGACATTCACCAAGCTATGTGTAATTTATATTGTATGTCGGCAAGAGAGAAGGATTGTTTCAAATACAATATCCTGTAAAATTTTTGAGATTTTATTGTTTTTAATCCCCATCATAAAGTTCCAGTCAAGATCATAAAAGCACGTACTGCAGTGAATTAGCAGTTTTTTACGTGGTAGAGCCATGCTGCAGCTATATTATTAGTATAGTTGTAAACGAGGGAAAATGGAACATGTTATTGGCAGCATATTCCTGATATCTCGCCTGCCGAGCGTGGTAACTATGGCATAATCCTCCCAATGAGGCAAACTTTGGGGAGGCATATGTTCACTATTGTACTGTAATAGGGGCTGTAACGGTATACCTATGTTAATAAATCAAAAAAATATATTTAAATCTCTAAATCCAAGAATACATAATAGAAAAACTCCGTCTATCCGGTAGAAGATCCCGGCATAAAAGTCCATAATAATTCTTTGTTATGGATGAATGGACGTTACACGTCATTGTAACGTCCATGTCACACCCTATGCCGGTAGTTGTTGGGAGCACTAAGCTCAAAGTTGTTGACGAGTATGTTTACCTGGGACAAATAGTCCGACTAGGTAAGTCCAACTTCGACCGAGAGGTCAATCGACGGATTCAACTCGGCTCGGCAGCGTTCCGGAGATTACGACACGTCTCGTCAGGTATGTATACCTAAAAACTTGAAAACGAGATTGTACAACCAGTATGTGTTGCCAGTGATGATGTGAGACGTGGTCCTTCACTGCTGGCCGTATGAGGAAGCTCAAGGTCGCTCAGCGAGCTATGGAAAGGGCTATGCTCGGGGTTTCTCTGCATAATAAACTTAGACAAGAGGTTATCCGCAGTAGAACCACAGTAACCGACAGCGGATTTGTAAGCTGAAGTAACAAGTGGCCGGCTATATAGTTTGAAGAAACGACAACCGATGGGGAGGTAAGGTTAGATGGAGTGAGGACCTGGTAAGACATGCAGGAAGTCGATGGATGCAGGTGGTTGAGGATCGGGCTTTGCGGCATTCTTTGGAGGAGGCCTTTGTTTAGCAGTGGACTTGTGATGGGCTGTAATGATGATGACGGATGAATATATATATTATATTTAATTTATTAACCGTTATTGCCCATAAGTCGCGTTGATTGTCTTATTGCGTATAAGCCGCTCTGATTGGCCCGTGCGTATCGTTCGCACGCGCTGATTGGCTCCCCAGTCGCAAGTCGTGCGCGTCCCGTCCACGTTTCGTTCAGCGCTAGACTTACGTGCCGCGATCGGCATCGGATAAGTGTCGTAAGAGGTACTAAGGGAAAAGTCGGAAAGTCATAATGGTCTCCAATAGTTGCTGGTATACTATTCATGATCATCTGAATATACTCCTCAATACTGTAAAAAAGAGTAGAAGCCTTACTTGTGTTTAAACGGCTAGAGGAGTTTATTTTATTATAATTAATAGAATCAGGCGTTACTTTGTGGAAATCCATTATATAAAAGCTTTTAGAAAAATTTACTTCGCAAATATCCGCGTTATAAAATAATATGATGTGTCTTACCTAGTATGAAGAGCACCTCCCGCCCTCCCTCATTTGCGTGCACTATCCCCGTCACCACTAATCCCAGCGTAGCGATTGGGAGTAGCGGTGCTGGGATTAGTGGTGACGGGGATAGTGCACGCAATTGAGGGAGGGCGGGAGGTGCTCTTCATACTAGGTAAGACACATCATTTTATTTTATAACGCGGATATTTGCGAAGTAAATTTTTCTAAAAGAGTTTATTTTATTTCCTTATCACAATGTATGAAATCTTGCTATGGGGTCATGCAACTGACATTGAAACTAAATTTAATAGCAATTTATACTAAATCCGAAGGAGTCAGAGAAATATTAAAAGAAATATAATGTTTGACCTCTCAGTATATTTACGAAAATTTTACACATGTTTACAAAAACAAAATAAGTGTGAATAATGATGATATAATATGTGTTAATACTAGGAACAAGCACAAAGTTAGTAACACCAGTTTCTCTACACCAAAGATTCAGTAATTTCTTTATGGGACAATGTATTAAATTATTTACTCTCAAATAATTGCACAATGTATATATTATGTATACGCTTTTACAACAAAGTCGCAGAAAATATTAATACTTAGGTATGATTACTTATTAATCAAAAATTATTTGTAATGGGTTACTATAATATTGAAGAGTATATAATAGATAATAATAATCACTGGGAACGACGTGATCGCTATCATGCTGTTGCATACCATGAGGTGATCGCTACATTGCTGTCTAAAAATGTAGGCCTGTTTAAATTCATTTCAGTTCTTGTATTTGGTTCATTATCTTTATTTTCTACCGACTTCAAAAAGGAGACGGTAGTCAATTCGACTGTATGTTTTTTTATGTGTGTTACCTCATAACTTTTTACTGGGTGAACCGATTTCGATGATTCTTTTTTTATTTGAAAGCTGGTGCTTCACATGTAACCCCATATAAATTTGATCAAGGTCTGACTAATAGTTTTTGAGTTATACTTAATAATTATCATTGAAGTCGGTTGTACAAAATTTTTAATTTTAAATTATATCATTAGGCATTCTCGGTTTCTTGCTTATTCATGGCAGTAGTTACAGTATGGTTATTATTTCGCCTGAATCATTTTGTGTTCCAACGGATGTTTTAGATATGATTTACAACATCCATGATATTTATTGTATCTACTGATTTCACAAATATATCTGATATCAGCTGTTACCACCAAGCAGGCATACATAGTTTAAGTAGGTAGTAAATTAATGCTTGGTTGAAGAAAAGGCCCGCTGGGTTGATGGTTCTTCCTGGGGCAGAGGCTTTTTCCCAATCCAGTGGTAAATATTACTCTGATGAGTATTCTTGTAATCTATATTATATAACTTTCTATTCTATTCCAATATGGTGTGTAGCATTCACTCTTACCATGTGGCGGCGGTGTAACAATATCGACTTCCCCACGTCTCGAAGGTGTCGTAAGAGACGACAGAGGGAGACAAACCAGTACTCATCAGGAGCATAGGAATTTGTAAATAAGGCAATCGCAACGGTTTTTTTCCCAAAAAATACATGGCAGCTGGAACTTAAAAGGCTGGCGAAATGAACGTAGATACGAGGACGACACTGAAAGTTTTTAGAACTGGCCACTTGTAAACCACATAATAAAAAAATAAGTTCAAATTTTGAAAATGGAACTCTGCCAATATTATTGTGTATGTATTTTATTATTTTTGTCATTTGTTTACGATTTGGTGGCAAATTGAAAATTGTCTGTGTCACGGCAGCATGAATTTAACGCAAGAAAATTTTCGTACAATGACTTTATGACTTTCGATGTCATTTAAGTCAACAAGAAAGTTATGATAGACTTCGATTGGCCTTTCACGATGAAGCCCCATCTCGTTCCATTAAAGAAATAAAATAAAATAATTAACTAGTTTAAACGTGGTCGCACTAATCTCACCGATGATCTGCGTGAGGGACGGCCTTCTACGGCGACGACTGAAGATAATATCAGTGTTGTGCGGCGTATGATAGAGACTGACAAAAGAGTGACTTATCAGCAGATTCGGACAAGCTTAGGCATCGGTATGAGTCAAGTGCACAAAATCCTCCATGAATACACTGAGTTATATGTGTACGTAGTACATATAACTCAATGCATGAACATTTAGCGGTCACAGGTCAGGTAGCTTTGTGCCCGGTGGATAACTCATAATTTGACAGAGGCTCAAAAACTCCGTTGTGTTTATTGGTGTCGTGAAATGGTTCAAAAATTTAACGCAGGTGGACTCAAATACTGTTTTCGACATACTTACGTGTGACGAAAGCTGGATTTATTGTTATGATCCTGAAACTAAGAGACAGTCTGCTGTCTGGGTGTTTCCTTCCGAGGAGTCGCCAACTAAAGTTAAGAGAGCTCAAAGCGTGGGCAAAAAGCTGGTGGCCTCGTTCTTTGGAAGGAAAGCAGTTACTGCAGAGTGGTATACTAACAATTGTTTGCCACTTGTCTTGGCAAAAGTTCGGGAGAAACGACCTCCCAGTAGGATCCTCCTTCATCACGACAACGCCTCATCGTACACGGCTAAGCAAACAATCGACTACTTGGCGACGTCAGACGTGGATTACTGGGTCACCCGCCCTACAGCCCTGACCTCGCGCCTTGCGATTTTGTTTATTTCCGAAAATAAAAGGAACACTCCGAGGAAAACGTTTTATTGACGCCAAGAACAATGTGACTGCGTTTCAAAATGCCGTCGAAGAGACTCCTAAGGACGAGTGGGTAAAGTGCTTTTCTCAGTGGTTCCATCGGGTGTAGTGATGTATTGATGTAAATGGACACTATTTTGAAAATATATAAATAAACTAATAAATTGCTAGTTTGTTTAGTTTTTGATTTTCTAAGAACTTTCAGTGTCACCCTCGTATATAGGTACACACCACGTCCACCTACCACAAATTGTCAAATGTTTCAAACTTGTATTATTCCACTACTTAAAGAAGTAAGGCTAACACAAATTTCACCTGATGTTTCATGGATACTGTGACCCATATACACACCTGCTACTAACCTCAATTAAGAATAACACGCAACTACACACAATGCAATTCCATCTGACGACTGAGATGGAGTGTCTCGTTACCAATATAAAAGATCCCCGGTGGGGTTGCCACCTTTTTTTTTTTTGAACAAATATAGTAAAATGCAAACGTATAGTACTTTCGGGAAATTCAGGAAAAAAAGTACAATTTTTTTTACCTTTATGTATTATTCCATATATATTCTTTATTTATTTCTTTCCATTTAAGGCGCAGGTTGAGCAAAATGTCGCGCTAGTCGTTATTTGTGCTGTTTTTAGAAGCTATCTACTTTTTATTTAAAAGATATATCAACAAATAAAAAACACATTATATTTCTACATAATCTTGACTCCATAAAAGCTATATCCAATTTTTTTTTAAAGGAATAAATATTAATATAATCTCGTTACAACGAAACCACATAAATGTGAAATTATTATTGATA